CCCTCCCTAGAAACATGCACTTTTCATTTGGTCTGTGGCACTTTTTTTTTTTTTTTTTTAACAACTTGGAAGTGAATCCTAAGCTTTAGGCCTTTAAATTGAAATCAATCAGTAATAAATCATGGGAGTTTTTACTTTGCTTTTAATTTGCATGGACCTGGTTTGTTACAGCTTGGCTCAAACCCAGTTAACTCAGTGTTTGCTGTGTATTAGACAGAGCTACAGACCTTTCAAGTTACAATTGCTGAATTTGTGCTTATCAATTTTCCCAGGTGGGTGGATAGAGGAAGGAGGGGAAGGAGAGGAGAAGGAAGGAACAAACTATCTGCATATTTGAAGAAAAGTCTTCATAAATAGGTCAGCCTTTTTTGAATTAAGAGCAAGTTGGTAAAAGGCTGAGGTGAGGAGACCTCAAACATGCACATCTGGTATGGAATTTGATAAACAATTTTTAAAAAGAAGCAAATGAGGACACGGGGGAAAAAGAACTAATCACTTGCAAGGTAGGGACTATAACACCCATTTTAAATGAGAAAATTGGCCTAGGAAGGTAAAGTCATCAGTGCAGGTCGAAGCCTCAGTGCTTGGCTGGAGGAAGCTAAGAAACACACCAGATCAGAAAGGAAAGGATGCTCAGGGCACCAAACACCGGGCACCCGGGAACATGAGCCCCAGGAGCGCAGCCTCAGCGAGAGACGCGCAGCGGCAGGGAATGTGTCTTGAGGGTCCCCCAGGGCTGTTCCTGCTGGGGCCAGCTCAGCTGGGCCACCCTGCTGAGGGTTTCCGAAAACCCGAAGCTTTATTTGGTTTGGGGCGGGAAGGGCCCGCACTGCATTTTTTCCAAGACATCTCTGAGATATGTAGGCTGCTTGAGGTCCCTCTTCAGAGTCCTTGCGGGATTTTCTGTCACTCGTCGCGCCGAGGGTGCCCCGCGGCCCCAGCTCTCTCAGAGAGCTCCTCCGTGCGCGTCGGGCTCCCATCCTTTGAATGGCCAAGCCTCTGGCAGGCCCGTACCCGCCTCTACCCGCCACCCCGCCACGCGTCCCACCCCACGTCCTCCGAAAGCGCAGATCTAGGGGTGCGACTAGGCGGTGGCTCAGAGAGCCGAGATGATAGTGGGCTTTCCCACGCCCACTTCCCTAGGTGGAGGGATGGGAGGGGCGGGATCGGCACCCATCTTTACAAAGAAAACTCCAGATGTCTTTGCAGTTAAGCCTTTCCCCCAACCCCCGTCATTTTCGAGCCAACAGCAGCACTGAGCGCTTCTGGGGCGCGCCTTTGCGGCAGGCACGTGCTCAGGGCTTTGATGGGCTCTGTCCCTGAATCCTCACCGCGGGGTGTGAGGCCCGTTCTACCGTTACACTCATTTATAGATGAGGAAACTGGGGTTCTGCGAGGTATCTTCACTTGCCCAATGTCCTGCAGCTAGTGAAGGGCAAGATCTGAAGGTCCTAATTCCTAAGCCCTCCGACCTGCGGCCACGCCCCCTTCCACGGCTCTGATTGGGCGGTGGTGCAAAGAGGGAGGGAGGACACGCGACACACATTCATCACCAGTACCATCAACTCCCGGCGAACTGGGTGCCCCCGGGATCTTCTTTTTTCTTCCTTTACTAGAAGGAAGAAGATCGCCACGCAGGGATTTCATGGCTAGATTTGGAGTCGCTTGTTCCCTAGATCACTCAGCTTCAACACTGCCCTGAGGTGCCAAAGTCTACAGGTTGGAAATAGAGTCCGGTGTACAGGGTGAGTAAAAATGAGCCACCAGCCCTCTCCCCTGGGGTGTGAAGGCCTCTGAGTACTTCGTGCTCCAACGATTACCCTCTCCTGGGACACAGTAATAACCTAAGCCTCCCCCTGTATTCTTGTCCTGAACCCTGGCCCTGTTGAGATCTGTTGCAAACTGCTGAGCTCACTAAGCATCCTCACTGAGGGGCAGATTCAGGAGGCAGTCCACACAATTCAGCCTCTACTGGGTGCTCTGGCTTGACCATCCAGAACAAAAATCGTAATAGTAAACACTGGTGTAGCAATTACCATCTGCTGTGCATAATCTAAATTCTCATAACTCACTTAAGCCTCAAAACTAACTATGGAAAAGAAAAGGATATCATTACTATGCTCATGTTATGGACCAGAAAACTTAAAATACAGATTGTTGAAGAGTAACTTGTCCAAGATACGAAGAGGTAGACATGGCAGTCTGGCTCCAGTATCTGTGCCGTCACCCTGGACATCCCAGCCCTTGAACTCTGTGTTTGGCAGAAACCCTGAGAAGGCTCCTGCTCTTTCACGCAGCCCATGCTTGGGGGAAGGGCCTCAATCTCTGGTCTCCTAGAGTAAATCACTTCCTAAACAGCAGAACTGAAGGGATGTTAACAACTGGAGTTTTGAACGAAAACTTACAGGGAAACAATTCTCTCATCTACAAAATGAAGATAACACCAGCTCACAGAGTCACTGGAGGAGGGGTAGCAAATGAGAGAAAGAGTAGGAAAGATATTTATCTGAAGACATGTGCAAATATTGGTTACTACTGACAACATGGAATTAGCACAGGAATGTAGAGTCTAAGAGACATAGATTTGAAACCTGATCTGTGACTTATTGGCTGGGTGACCCTGGATACTCTAGGTCACATAATCTCTCCCAGACTCATATGCCTCATCTGTAAAATGGGAGAACCATCCCCCACTTTGCAGAGTCATTGTAAAGGTCAGAGTCAAGGCACCCATGGCCGGTTGTGCGTGACACACAGAAGCGCCCAGTGAATGCAGTCAATATCGCTATAACTGCCTACATCCAGGTAGGCAGAAGATGCACCTATACTCCTCTTGGCCTTCTTTGAGGAGAGGCAATCCACTTATTTCGGCAGGACTTCTAGAAGTGAATGAAGGAAAGGTGCTGGGCAGAGGGGTAAAGAGAGAAGCACGGACTTCCAGTTCCTATTCATCTGAGGTCCAGGGAAGTGTAAGGCCCACAGGGGTTGTGGCCTCACCCCCATCACATGGATCCATCTCAGTGCCCCTGTGTCATTATGTCATCCACTACTGAGGTCTCTCACACAACTTCCAGGTGAACAACGAACCTCCAGCCAGAACCTCATCAAGGATAGGTCCCTCCCAGCAGGTTCCCTCCTCTGTGGGCTCAGGGCCAGCGCTAGCCCAGATGCTAATCCATTTGGCTCCCTGGCTGGGCAGATGCAGCCCTGAGAGGCCTGGGGGTTGGTCTCCTTGCCCCACTCCTCACCTCCCACTGTGGAGCCCTTTTGGCAGGGAGGAGGCACGATCTGTCCACAGAGCCAATCTGGGCTGGGGATGAAGATGACATTCCGGATGTTCTTCAACCGCAAAGGGCCAGGCACATTTGGTGGGGAGATGGGCTGTAGCAATGAATGGCCCCTGAGGCTGAGTGCAGGGCCCAGATGCAGAGCAAGTCGCCTGAGAAAGCCCAGTCAGTGGGCAGGTGTGTGTCTCCTCACCACACACTCACCCGCGCAGCTTCTCTCTGGATCTCTTGGCTTCCTGTGTTTTCTCCAATAGCGTGCCCTGCGTTTCTCAGCTTCTTTCCTCCTTTCAAAGATCAGAGAGGCCCAAGGCGGGTCCTCCACGGAATCTGGAGAGGCTTTTCTAGTCTTTCTCCCAAAGCTGGCAGATGGCACCCTCCTCCCTGCAAGAAGCCTGGGGCTTGTGAACCCCACAGGATTAAGCAGGCCTGGTGGCCCGCCTGGATCCCACAGAGAAATCCTAGTGTTAGTGCACCACGCTCTGGCCCAGCCAGAGGCAAATGAGTGAGGGTGGGAGGGGAGGGAAGGAGAACCCCAGATGCCACCCAGCGGAAGGCAAACTTCGGGGGCCCTCCTAGCCTCAGCACAGCCTTCTGTGGCAATAAGGCCAGGTTCTGGTGGGAGCCAAGGACCAGCCCTCTCCCCTGAGCACTGGACACTGCACAACCCCAGCAGGACTCCCAAGGCACTTCAAGGAGATTCTTTTGTTTCTCTAAGATGAAATGGATTCCTTGTCAAGTGGGGTCCAAGAACTTAGTGCGAAACCTCGTGGCCACGCGTTCTTGAGAGGGGTTCAAGAACCAGTGATTCGAAGCCGAGATCAAGAACACTTCGCGGGGCTCTCTTTTCAGGGCAGTCTCACCCAGGGCTTCCAGAATCTGAATTTGACACCACTGCAGATGAAATCCAAACGGAAGCCCGGTTCTATTGCCACAAGCTGTACCCTTCTCTCCCCACCTTTCCGCCGGGTACCCATGTCCTCCGGAGGTCACTGCCCTTCCCTTGGAGCTGTGCGTGCAGGGCCCGGACCGGGTGATGTGCCAGGGGCCGCCCTCGCTGCACTGCGGACCAGCAGGGTCACTGGGAGCCCACTGGAGCCACACAGGCCCAGGGTTGGAGGGAAGGAGGAAATGCTGCCGCGAAGCAGCCTTCAGGGGTGGAATACGATCAGGCCTTTCGACTAGAGAGTTTCGAGATCAAAAGTAGAAGAAAAGGTTCCCGTTTTATTTGGTTTCTCCTCCACGACCAGTTCTCGGGTTTGCAGGTGGGGAGAGGGGTTCAAATTGGCGTGTTGTGTGGACAGGAAAGGACTTGAATGCCCAGGGCTCCTGTGCAAGAGAAACCTCAATGGTGAGCTCTTGAAAGTTTTGGGCCGGGCGCGGCTTCTGAAGGAGGGGTAGTGGAAACTCTGCTCCACTGCGCTCACCTTGGGCTGACTTCCGAACTAACGTCGCAGCAGAATGAGATTCGCGGTGGCAGCTGTGGACCATCGTCTAACATTCAATTTCCCTCCCCACGGGGCGCGGGAGCCACAGTCTACTGGGAAGTGGGATGAGGGCTGGACCGAGGTGCCTGGAAGCCAGATTTGCAAAGCAGGCGCACGGATTTTCTTTGGTTCCTACGTTCTTTAAGGAGGGCAGGGGGGCGTGTAAACCACCGGGATCCCAAAGCCAACCCTCCGCGCTGCTCCTGCCCCCACTTTCTGCTCGGCTCGGTCAGCTAAACCGCTTCCGACTGGGCCAGAAGCCCGCCCTTCTCCTCTCCAGCACGCCCACTACCGCGTCCCTAAGCCGAACTCCGCCCCCAGACCCCCGGGCCGCGGGCGGCGCGGCGCGCGCATCTTCTGGAAAGCTGGACAGTGCGGCCGGGCGCCTGCAGCGGCTCACGCCACACCGACCCAACCCTCGGCCCCCAGCAGCGCTAATGGACTGTCCTGGAAGGCAGAGAACAGCAACCCTGGAACCCATTAGGCCGACGAGGACCTATTTAATTCCTATAAACAGAAGACACCACTTAACCGCCATTGAGCTTAAAAATAAACAGCCAGGGCTTTAAGAGAGGCGGGGGTAGGGCGGGGAGGGGCGGGCAGGGAGGCGGTTGGTGCCAAGCAACGAAAGGACGCGGAGGACCCACGTTCGCGCTAACCACACCTCGCGGCCTCGGCTGGGATACCGTCCCCGGGTCCAGAGAGCAGCGTTTGCCCAGGGTTATTCCATACCCGAGGATTTATTGAACTAATGCCCTTCACTTTACTTAAGAGCCCCCCGGGATTATTGTTGATGCGCTCTGCATCGTTTACTGCTCGCAGCAGTCCTGCCAGGAAACCGTTTTCGTTCTGTCCTATCTCTACCATAACATCTTTCTCCCACCTCTGCGTCCCCTTCTCTTCTCCTTCCCCTGTCGCCGCCCCAGGAAAACGGCACCAATTGCAAGGAGGCGTGCCTCCAGAACCCGGAGAACTCCGACTGGGAAAAAACCCGGTTGCGTTAGGACCACCTCCTGGGCAACGCCCGCGTTCCCTTCGGGTCCAGGCGGCGCGCAAACTCGCAGGTCGCGAGGGGGAGGTTTCCTGTCTTCATTCGGTTTGCGGAACGAGGGATTCTCAAGGCCTGCCGTGGGCTGTGGTTTAGGTAATTTTTGTTTTGTTTTGTTTTGTTTTAATGTGGAGAAAAGACAAGGATGTTTGAGCACGTTTTTCGATCCCCTCCCCCACCGGCAACTCTACCGCGCAAACTCCCAGAGAGCCCAAGCGCCTCCCGCGCTGGGGAAAACGTTCGGAGTCCTTTTCAAATTAGCCTCCCCTGCAGAGGAAGCTCGCCTGAATTCTGGCCCCACTTGCACTTTCGCTGCAGAAGGTACTAGGTGTTCCTAACTTACTTGCTAAGGTGGCCCTTGTAAGAGTCTTGTAAGGCAACCCTTAAGACCTTAGGGATGGGGGTGACAGTAACTGATACTTAACAACAAGCCAATGGCTAAGGCGTTTGTGGTTTGTGGCCTTTAAAATGTTTTAATGATTGCAACCAGAAGAGAAGAACAAACTCCTTCTTTAAGGCTTCCTTCCGTCACCCCAGGCCTTTTTCCGGGACCTTCCAGTCCACAGGCCTGATAGAAGATCATGAACCTGGACAGCAATGCAAACCCCACGCCGGCGCGCACGCGGGCGCGCTCTCACACGCACACTTGAATGCTCAGCAATCCTTTTCCAAGGCTGTTCCCTCTTTCCGGGGAAATAAAGCCTAGATTGGAACCTTCTGCCGGCTTCCTCACTTGGCCGTCTGGTCTGCATTAGTGTTTTTATAAGGGACTCAAACAAATCGAATACAAGGTCACCAAATAATTAACAGTTGTGAATTCCCTCCGTCCCCATTAAAATACTTCCCTGCTTATATTTCATTTTCCGTTTGCCAACGACAACAGGGTCGGGGCAAAAGCGCTTCTGCGTTGATTACGCCACTCTGCGGCCCAGGTCCACCCAGAAACTCGCTGTTTTGCATAAACATGCTGTCCCAGACGAACTTCAATCGCGAGGGAGCTCTGCAGCTCTTAGAATACCCTCCCCGCAGCACGGCTAGCCCAGTTGTCCTGCCCTGCCCCCAGATAATCGCGACCCAGAAGGTAAACCAAGAAGCCAACAATGGGCGGTGGCAAACTTTTCAGCGATTCATTTCTAGGGTGTCAAGTTCCGATGTTCCGATATTCCGATCTCGTTTTTGGTTTTTATCTGTTCCCTACTGCCTCCTTTCTGAAAAGGCTATTCTAACAACAATAACCAGGGAAAAAAAATTTTAGGAGTCTTCTTATTTCCAAATCATCTGGAAACCGAACTCGCAGCAGTATTCCTAGACTCATTTGGTTTCTTCCCAAACCAAGGGGGAGGTTTCTTCCCCCCTTGTTGGAATTATGTGGCACTTCTCACTCCATAAACGGAAAGTCTGAGGTTTGTTTCTCTCTTTCTCTCCCCCTCTATCTCTCAGCCACGTTGAATTCACAGAAATTCCAACTGTCTGCCTTTCTCAGGCCCCAGGGTTGGGGCCCTAGGGCTCCAGTACCAGCGGCCTTTTAATGGTTCCACCATGCACTAACTGTAATTTCTCTATATCCAACCTGATCCATTCTGATCTTATAACTGCACCAACACACACCTGCACACACTTTCCATCTTTGTGGATTCAAAATCATTTTAAGAGAACAATATGGAGGAATATTTAAAGATCAGGGATAGCAGGGTTTGTGCCTTTCCAGAGAGCACAAAGAGGAAGCAAAGCACAGCACGGATCCGGACCCTCAAATCCAAAGTTCCACTCCAACTCCAAACTGGATCTTAAGAAATCACCGAAGAATATTAGACCAGATGGGAAATCTGCCCATTTTTTTTTTTAACTTCTGCTTCCTGCCACCATCCTTAGAAACCTCCTCACCCTTTACCCTACCCGTGTAGTGCCATAGTTAAGCATGCAGGATCTAGAATTGGATATGCGCTTCACCCCTCTGTATGACCTTAAGCAACTTGCTTAACTTAACCTCTTTGTCTTCCTTAATTCACCTGTAAAACAGTGATTATAGCACTTTCCCCAGGGGTTGTTGTTAGAATTAAATGAAATAATTCAGGTAACAGATTTTAGCACAGTACTTGGTATGCAGTAAATGCTCAATATATGTTGGTTAGTATTACCCCTGGATGTTTGGAGAGCAAATCGAAAGGAGGGACATTTAGAAAATAAAACTTGCAGTAAGTTCTCCTCTTTGGGTGTGTGTGTGGAGGGGGGGGAAGGTGGCAAGGGTGAGGTAATAGAGAACGTGCTATCTTCATAGACGCAAAGCGCTCTTCATTCACTTCCGACTGATTTTTATCCCTGCTTGCCCACTCTTAATCTCAAGCCTGAGGGGTAACTTTTGAGCTTCCGGGGTTCCCGGGCGAGGAAGGCTATTTACAAATATTGTACGTGAGCAAGGAGTTCTTGCCTCCTGAACAGGCTTCAGAATTCCTTCCATTTTCTTTGCTCCTCCCCCTGAGGGTCCCCAGCTCCGCCAAGCCAAGCCTGCCGCACTCGACGGCGATTTAAACATCCCCGAGGCAAGGCGCCAAGTCAGCGCGGCTGGCCCAGCTCTCGGCTGGCCGCGGCTCTTTCCTCCTTGCCCCGCCATCCACGGGGTGGGGGAGGGGATGTAGGCGGGTTTAGCGCGGTTCAGAGTCCCCACGTGAGAGGGGCGGAAGTCCTCGCGGGGAGCCGGGGATGCGCGGCTGGCGGGTCCCTTCCATCACGGGAGACTAGACACCGTTTGATGTGTTATGACATGAACCCTCAATTAGATCGCTGAGTTGAAACACTCCAATCAGGGGCCCGATGCTAAGCAAGCCCCGGAAGGTCCAGCCCGAGGTCACCGCCGGTGACACATCAAATCAAAATCAGTGAGAGGGAAAGTGAGGCTTTCCCTTTATCAAGCTGGCGCTGTAGCCCGCAACACACCCCCTCCTCTGCGCGCCCCCTCCTGCCTTGGGCTCCGCACTCCTTCACCCCCGAGCGGCGTGCGGCGAGCCGCACAGCCTTCCCAGCCAACTGACTGCCCTTCTTTGCGTTTGCTGGGAACCTGAGAGCGTGGAGGAGACCGTGCCTTCGAAGCTGCGGTCCAAGTGATCACTCCTCGTCTCCTCCGGCTGGGGACCGCGTTCCAGAGTTGAAGCCGACGTCTGGATCTTGGTCCGGCTAGCCTGGAGACCTTGGCTCGGCAACAGAGGTCCCCTGGGCCTGGGCTCGCAGCCAGTCCCTTTCCCTACCTCCGGCGCCCGGGGACGCCCACCGCGGTGCCGGGGGAGAGGATGCAGCGCCCGCAAGGGTGAAGCGAGCCCGCGTCTGCGCGGGACCTGAACTCCCCAGAGACCTCCCACTCCTGCCTGCACGCCCCAGGCTTCGGTAGACACCTCCGAACAGCCTGCAGGGTCTCTTGGTCCCGTGCCAAACTCGCAGGGCGAAGCTTACGAGTTAGGGGTGCCTGCTTGGGGGAGGGGCGGAGATTCTTGCCACTTCCTTTGGGGAAAAGAAAACTTGCGCCCAACCGCCCGCCAGCCTGGGCCTCCGGGAGTCCTTCCCCTGGGGAAAGACCTCTTGAGCTATTTTCTCTGAGCTTCCTTAGTGTCTCCACTAGGGATGTGCAGGGTAGTCTTTGACTAGGGGAGTAGAGAAGACGGACGGTAAAGACGATTTGGAGGGAGGGAGACAACCGAGGCAGGGCAAAGACTGGTAGTGGGGAGGAGGGGCGAGCTGCGCTGGCAGCACGGGGGTTAGGGATGCAGTTGCAGCACTACGAAGAAGCCGTGTGTATCTGCAAAGGTGACTTTAGTAGTCCTAAAATCACCATAAAATAGCAGGCGTTAATTTGCCGCCCGGACCTTTCAGCAGCTCATGAACCTCTCTGACCTCGGCTGCAGCGGCGAACCGAGCGTGGGCAGGAACCCTGGCCCACAAGGAAGGTGGCTACAAGCGTGGAGGCTGGGGTCTGAAGCCCGGGAAGAGCCCGGGGCTTGGGGGCCTGGGGGCTCTTAGCCTCCTCCGAAAAGCTCCGTGGACGAGCATGTACTCACGGCAGGCGGGGAGGGAGCAGCCCCGTCCGCCTGAACCCTGGCGCTCGCCGGTTCCCGAGCCACCCCACTTTCATTGACCTGGAAGTGGCAGGAAGTGGGAGGCGGGGAAGTGGTCAAAGCCGCGAACCTAAGTCTCTATCCTTAATCTTTTTTTTTTTTTTTTAATCTTCTCCTTCCTTTCTTCACGTCCCCTTCCTCCCCTTTCCCTTTTCTTTCCTTCATCTCCCTTCCTTTCCTGTCTCCTTCCACGTTATTGTCTCCCCTCTTTAGGAGCTGAGTTCCTGGCGCCTGTGAATCCCTCCTCAGTTTCTGGGACCAAGGGGAGCTCGAGGTTCTCTCGGAGGCACTCACCGCGCGGACGAACGCGGGTGGCAAGGAGTGGGTGCAGGAGTTTCCGAAGGCGCCCACTCTTGCACCCACGCTCTCAGAGGGGACCAGGGACAGGGACCCTGGGAGCTCAGAGAGAGGAGCGATGCCTGGCTGGAAAGGTGGATGTGCATATCCATGCACCCATATGAATTAAGTACCAACAAATCCCTGGACTTAGTTGCCCTGCCCCTGCCCCGTCCTGCCGGTTGCTGCCCCTGCCCTAGCAGAAACTACTCGCTGGCCGTCTCGCAGCGGTGAGCGCGCTGGAGGAGCAAAAAACGCCCGAGGGCGCGGGGCTCCTGCCGGGCTGATGATCCCCACATCCAGGGCAGGGAAGGGCTGAGAACCCGTGCAGCGGCTGGGTCAGGGCATTGCCCAATGCAGTTCGCGGACTTGTTCCTCGGACCGCGGGACTTGCATCTGCCGGCTTTTCCCCCACCCCGATCGGATGGGAGCTCGGGACTTTCCAACGCTCACTCATGCCCCATGTCCCCCCCCCCAACCCCGCCCCGGCCCGGTCGGCCACGGCAGCTCAGGCCTTGTACCGCGCTCCGCGCACAACCCGAGACCCCGTGGCAAGTGTGCCCTCAGTCCCCGCCGCGGACCCTCTCCAGACCCAGTCATTTGCCTGCCACCTCCCGTCCTCCACGCTTCCTCCACCAGCCACCAGACGAGCGGCCACCGAGCTGCTTTCTGCAAAAGACAAGAGAAAGAAGGAAGGAAGGGAGAAAGGAAGGAAAGGAAAGAAGGAAGCGAGGAAGGGAGGATTGTAAACTGGAATAAAATCTGCAGCCGCATTCAGAAACTTACTGGGCTTGAGAAAAACAATTTAAGAAAAGAAAGGGGGAGGTGTCCAGAGCAGGAGAGGAATTCACAAATGTAGCCTCCTGCCAGAGCCCGAGCAGCGCCGTGGCTGCGGAGCTCCAGGGAGAGAGGCGTGGGGCATCTTCTTTGCCACTTACCTAGTCCCCTGTCTACAAAGCTAGTGATCGTATTAGCCGACTTGGAAGACTGGAAAAAGCTGGCATTGATGCCCAGCTTCTCGGCGATGGAGTAAGTCCTGTAAATTGACAGCATGTACTCGTGGGGCACCACGCGCGGGCCCCTGCCGGGAAGCTCCTGCGCTTGGGGCTGCTGCGGCGGCCGCCGCCGGGGCTCATCCTGTGGCCGCGGTCCTGGCTCGTGGCGCTCCAGGGGCGCCCGGGCCGTGGTACTGTCTCGTGGCGCCCGCGGCATCTTCCCTTCCTTGCGACTTCGCATTCCCTTGGCAGAGCCCAGCTCCGCGGACGACGAGGAGGAGGAGATGGAAGCCTGCTGGAAACCGGGCAAATCCCACAGGAAACTGATGAGGAAGACGGCCGACAGCAGGACTCTAGGAGTATCCATGGCGAGCGAGTGGCAGCGTCTCCCGGAGAGGCGGCGGCGCAGGGCGCGAGGGGCACGGAGCGGCTGGACAGCGGCCGGGGCCCGGCTCCTCGCGCGGACTCCGAGTGCAAGGAGCCGGGTCCCAGCCACACAAACTCCGGCCCTGCCACGCCCCCTCCCGCCCCTCGCCGGGAGGGGAGGGGAAGGAGGGGAGGGGAGGGGAGCGGAGGGTGGGAGGAGAGGCGGGTGGTGCGGCCAGGAGGTGTAGGGGAGAGGGGCCGCCGTGTGTCGGTGTGGCTGGGAGGCGCAGCGCCCCCGCGGGACGCGCGCGGGGTTGCCGGGCGGCGTGCGCAGAGCGGGCCCAGAGCGCTGGGCGGGGGAAGGCGGGCGCGGTAGCCCGGCGGCGGGGAGGCCGGGAGCATCCACAGCGCCAGAGTCCCCCGAGCACTGTCCGAAGCTCGGTCCCCCCGGGGCGCCGCGCGGGCCCTAGGGCCTCGCCGGTCGCCTCCACTGTCCGGGGAGCGTGCAGCCCGGGAGGAGGGAAGCGGCGGCGGCGTCCCCCAGAGACGGCTCCCGGCCGGCGCCTCTGCAGCGGACTGCGCTCTGGCTCCGGGTGGTGGTGGTACCGTCTTTCCTCGGCCCCAACCTCCAGGCCGGCCGTTCACAGCCTTCAGGGGCCAGCCCGGGGCCAGCGAAGCCTCGCCGCGTCCCAGGCGCAGGGCCCAGCCCCGAACAGCCCCATTCTCTCGGTGGGGTACCGCTCTCCACAAAGACAGGGCGTCTGTTCCCGACCCTCGAGGTCAGGCAAAGGCCACGAGTCTTTAGAGTCTGGATGGATGCTAAAAGCTGCCGCGCTCTACTGCAGGCCCCAGCCTCTCTTCTCGCAGTCCCCAGCCTCTTCTGACGCTGGCTTTAGCCGGTTCTTTTCTCCTCGGTCTGCTCCCCGGGTCCTCTTTCCTCTCGCGGCCTGGCCCCCGCCTCCACGGCATCCCCATTTTCTTTCTCTTCTTGCCCTCCCGCCTTCAATCCTTTCTCCTTCTCTAAGTTCCTTCTGCATTCCAATCCCCCTTTCCCCAGCCTGCTTTTCTTCGCACATTGCCCTCCCATCTCTGCCCTCCCACCCTCTCCCCCCGCCGCCTCCCCCTCCTCTTTCAGTGGACCCCTCCCTTTGCAGCTCTTCCCCAATCTGTTTCTCTTCAGCCCAGCCTCGCCCCATCACGAGTTTCCTTTATCTGTCCCCAGATTCCCCGTGCGTGTCTTCCCCGCCCACTGCCTCGTTCACTCCCGGGCCTGAGCGCTGGAAGTCAAGGCGGAGGGCCGCTTCTCTCCCACAGTGCTCTGTGCCCTGGAATGCTAGGGACGTAGAGTCTCCTTGTGCATTTATTGGGTGTCCCGCCACCAACCGCAAAATGTTCTCCTTTCGTCTCCCTACAGCTCTGTGAAGTTGGCCTTACTATTTTCACTTTCACAGATTTAAAAAATGAGACAGACAGGGGATGAGTGACTTTTCCAATGACACTCAGCCCAGAGGACGTGCAGCCAGGGACAGAACCCACAGCCAGGACCCCAAATCCAGGGTTCCCATTCCAGCATAGAAGAATTGCTCGCCCACCCAGTATCTCTCATTCTTTTTTTTTT